GATGGAAGAAGATCTAACTCTCCCTCTCTAACTCTACCTTTCAAATAAACAAATATTTTCTAAAAATTTATACTTTTGCAAAAAATCTGGTCAGTTTATGTGGTTCCAGAGTAATTATAATATTGTTAGAATTACTCTTTATTCTTAGTGTTTATTCTGCTGTATTGAAATCACTTGGACAGGATCTGGGAAGAAACCAGCCAAGGAAAGAGGAAACAGAAGTAAACTCTTAAATTCTGTAATTCTTTAATAGATTTATTTATTTGAGAGGCAGAGTTAGAGGAGAGACAGAAAGGTCTTCCATCTTCTGGTTCACTCCCTAAATGGCCACAATGGGCAGAATTGGGCCAATGCCAGGAACATCTTCCAGGTCTCCCTTGTGGGTACAGGGCCCAAGCACTTGAGCCATTTTCCACTGCTTCCCCAGGCCATAAGCAGAGAGCTGGACTGGAAGAGGAGCAGCCAGAATACAATCCAATGGCTACATGGGATGCCGGTGCTGCAGGTTAGCCTATGATGCACAGTACCAGCCCATGTTAATTTTAAAGTCTGAAGGGAACTTATATTACCATCTCATCCAATTTTCACATTAGAACTAGGAAAATGAGATATTCATAAATTAGCTTGCCCCATATAAAGTAGAGAATGTTAGGCTAGCACCAAAATCCAATTTTTTAACTCCTCTAGCAAGGTCTTCCCACCATATAACTGTTCACTGAGCATCCATGTGCCTGACAGACAGCATGTGGCACTGTGAGGGCTACAAAACATGGCCTCTTAGGCTGGCACCGTGGCTCAATAGGCTAATCCTCGGCCTGCAGCACCGGCACACCAGGTTCTACTCCTGGTCAGGGCGCCGGATTCTGTCCCAGTTGCTCCTCTTCCAGGCCAGCTCTCTGCTGTGGCCCAGGTCCTTGGGCCCTGCACTCGCTTGGGAGACCAGAAGCACCTGGCTCCTGGCTTTGGATCAGCGCGGTGCGCCGGCCGCAGCGGCCATTGGAGAGTGAACCAGCGGTAAAAGGAAGACCTTTCTGTCTCACACTGTCCACCCTGCCTGTGGGGGAAAAAAAAAACATGGCCTCTGTCCTTGGTGAGTCAAGTCAGTTTCAAGATTTCAAAGACTGGCTTTGCTAGTAAACACACACAGAGCCACATAGCTCAAGGGGGGTGTTGCAAGTACTTTATTTGCAAGGGAACCTGGCAGTCTTTGGAGCAATGCAGCATGTTGCTTTTGGGGCTTCTCTAACTTGGTTCTGTCTTTCTCCCTTGTTTCATGGGTGGTTGGTCTCAGGGGTGAAATAACTTTTTTTGTTTGAAAAGGTAATTTAACAAGTCATTGTGTATGTGTTTGTATCATCATGGCCAGTTACTTGTTTGAAAACAAACGAAAACAGAACAAAAAAAGGGAGTTAATACCTTCCTTTGACTCCCTGTGACTCCAAGTAACCAATGCCTCTTTTTTTGCAAGTTGCATTAACACCTTCCAGGTTCTTTACGCAAGGGATAAAACACCATGTCCTATAATAGTATTGTGAAGTATAAACCCCCTCCCCCCTTTTAAAAAAATACTTATTTATTTGAAAGGCAATTACAGTGAGGTAGAGGCAGAGAAATCTTCCATCTGATGGCTCATCCCCCAAATGGCTGACGGCTGGAGCTGTGCCTATCCGAAGCCAGGAGTCAGGAGCTTCTTCCAAGCCTCCCACAAGGGTGCAGGGGCCCAAGCACTTGGGCTATCTTCCGCTGCTTTCCCAGGCCATAGCAGAGAGCTGGATTGGAAGGGGAGCAGCCGGGTCTTGAACAGGCACCCATATGGGATGCCTGCACTGCAGGCGGCAGCTTTACCTGCTATACCACAGTGCCAGCCGCACTGAAGTATAAATCTTTTAAGGAACCCTGATATAGGCTAAAGAGATTCTATCTTGGTAGACTGAAAATGCCATATTATGCCACTGTTTGCTCATTCTCAAGTGAATCTATCAGTCCCAAAAATCCTAGTGCAGGAGCCACAGGCCGTTCACTACTACCTCCAGCTGACTGAACGATGCAAGTCATGTAATCCACGGAGAGCCAATGCAAGGCTTGGCTGGAAATTTCTGCATCCCGACATAGAAAGAAGGGCTGAGCCAGATTCCTCAGTGTAGAATCTGAACTGGGAGAAACAAGGAGTCAGAGCCACATGATGTTATGCCACAGAGAAATTTACAAGGGCTGGACAGAAAGAACAAGTTAAATGCAAGCAAAAGGAGAGAGACAAAAGCTGAGACAACTGGTGATCGTAAGCTTCTAGAAAGCAGCCTTTGACAACTGTTACCTCCAATTCAGGCTGACCTTATCTCTTCTGGTTGGTCCTGTAAAATCTTTTCAGACAGCAACCATGCTGAACACTTTGTATATGTCAAGCTCTATACAGAACATTTTACATAGCTTTCCTCCTAAGCTTTAACACCTCTTGAGACGTAAGATTCCACTATCCCTGTTTCACAGATAAGGAAACTAAATCTCAAGACAACAAAATAATGGATGTCACGCTATTTCTGATGTCAGGACTTGAATCTAGGTCTAACTCAAGTCCTTGCTTGTAACTGATAAGCTGTACTAATCCACATTTCCTGCCAACAACTGGACCAAATCTGAGCATCATTTGCTTGTAAAAGCCTGCAAAGAATGCCCTCTGTAAGAGCATACTGCTCCTTTGCTGGAGAACCAGAGTGAAGAGAACAGAGTAAGAAGTATCCCTCAAACACACACACACACACACACACACACACACACCCCTGCGGGCATCAGAGGTCTTCATCTGTGAGCCTGTTATTTATTTTTGGGGGGAGCAGGGAAAGTGAAGATTTGCTTTTCCTTCTTGTTACTGAGCAGCCTCCAGGCAACTGCTGGAATTTCTAAGACATGGATATCCTCCCCCGCAGAGGAAATCTGAGCAGAAATTTGGGATTTCCATCCTATTTGGACTGAATAGATAAAGGAACATCAACGAGGCAACCGTGGTCTGAGACAGCGAGCACCTGTTACTGCCCAGTAAGCCACAGGGTCCGGTCCTAGATAAGATAGGCATGGACACCTAGCTCTGAGAAACGCTCCCAACGGGGGCCAGCACTGTGGCATAGTAGGCTGGGCCTCCATCTGCAGCGCGGGCATCCATAAGGGTGTCAGTTCATGTCCCAGCTGCTTCACGCTGATGGCCTAGGAAAGCAGAAGACAGTCCAAGTGCTTGGGCCCCTGCACCCGCGTAGGAGACCCAGAAGAAGCTCCCGGCCTCCGACTTCGGTTCAGACCAGCTCTGGCCATTGCAGATATTGGGGAGTGAAGCAACGGATGGAAGATCTGTCTCTCCCTCTCTCTGTCCATAATTCTACCTCTCAAATAAACAAACACTCCCAAGAGAAGCCTGGCACTGTCCCCCAACAGGAGTTTTGCGGACTTCACTATTAATGAGAAGTTATGTAGAACACTCCTCTAACTAGAGCCCAGCTAAGACATTTCCAACACCAGATGTCCAGCGGAAAAGGATGAGTCATCTTACTTTACTTTCTAAAAATCAACTGTAATTTATTTTCACATCTGTGGGTGAACCAGAGGCTCATCCAAAGGTAGCAATGAAAATCCTAGCAAGCAAGGAGTGAAGCTGGATCCATTCTGAGGAGATGGGACCTGTGTATGACAGTACTGATGTCTTAGCTCACAAGACAGACAGAGCAAGAGCCCATTTCTGGGTCTCTCCTCTTTCCTGTCTGCTCATGACAACTTGTCCTCAAGTACTTCTTTAACTGCAGAGGTAAACACGTGGTTTTTCTCAGGAGCACCTGATAGGCCAACGGTTTCTCCTCATGCTGAAGCTTTGCTGACTTGACCACTAATCCACTGTACTTAACCACTCCTGAATCTTGGCAAACCAACTCTAGGAGCTTACCTGGAGTTTGACCTGGTAGGGAACTGATTAAGGAACAGAACAGAATGTACAAGAGCTGAGCTTCCTACTTCGTACCACGGTTGAAGATTAGGATCCCACCTTCCATCATTTTGGAATGACATGCGCATTTCCTTTCATTCAGCTTTATGGCTTTTGCTCCAGTGGTATTTGACCTGTGCTGTTTTGGCTGAAGTTTATGTTCCTGCTGGCTATATTTCCTTATGGAAGGAATTACTCCAGCTGCAACATTTTACACCATAGGTCTTTTTCATTAGAAACCTGTGTCCTCAGCAAATATTTGAGTTTAAAAAAAATTTTTTAGATGTGACCTACTCCCTCATTACCCCTAGTAGGAATCCACCCTGCAGCATATTGTGGCAAATACTCAAATCCATTCAGAAAAGGGAGTTCACCACCTCAAGACAGCACCAACTCTCCCCTTTTCACCGGGGAAATCAAGGTGTGAACTGAAGCTGAATCTCAAGTTCCTAAGGGGTCACAAATGAAGCTAGAACTCTGGCTTTGGGATTCACAGAACCTCCAAGTTTTCCCATGGTGTGGACCTAGATCCTGGCTACAAAGTTCCTTATTTCAACACTGCCTGTCATCTGTCTTGTTCTGTCCCCTTGGACTTTTTCATTGCCTGTCGGCTGTAAGTTAAGACAGCAGGTCAGGTCTCACACACATGCTTATGTCTCCTATTGCCCCTGTACTGTGAATGCCACAGAGCAGATTCTTCATAGATGTGGTTATTCTAACGAGCAGCATGTGCAGGCAGGAGGAGAACTAGCCGGGCTAACACCTTTTCCTAGTGTAGCAGGGAGAGTGAATGTTGAGCTAGGTGATAAGGAAAAAAATGGGTCTTCCTTACCATTTCATCAAGCAAGTATCCTATCTAAATACTCTAAAGTCTTGTTCCAAGCATCTTGGAAAGATTCAGGGTAAACAAGAGAGTGCAGGGTTAAATCGTTTTTCTGCCCAACACACAGGCTTCTCCATACTCTGTCTTCTACCTACTTCAGGCTGCAAGCAAAACAACAAATCAAATTGATTTCAGTCAAGTTTCAGCAAGAAATTCTCTGCTTTGATTTTGCTGTTTTATTTGGCTTTGTGTGGACAGAAGCCAAAGATACAGACAGAATTTTGGCAGGAGAAGGAATGTATCACAAGGTTTTCTTTCTTTTTAGTTTCTAAAGGTTCATTTCTTTGCTTTCAACAACCTCATTTTGCAAGTCAAAATTTGAGATCTCTAAAGGGAAAAGGACTTATACCCAGGTGCAAAGTCACTTAGGAATAGTAAAAGGTTCAGACGCTCCCAGGTGATTGAATGCCCCAGAGAAAACACATGGTAGCCAAGATCCCTAAAAGCAAAACAAGCAGGAACAGGCTGTCCTTATCTATAGACAGTGCTTAGCTCTCAGTGATCTAGGAAGTTCCTCAATCTACTGTCAACAGGGCAGAGCCAGATGGGGTGAACTTACACTCTATACTGGCTCAGGAAAGCTGCATTTCAACACCACTATCATCTCACTACCGAGGAAGTAAAAGCTGAAGGTTCACTGGCACTTTCTGAAACCCCGTAATACTTTTAGAAAGTGCTGTGATCTTTGTTGCTGATGATTGTCAAGAATATCAAAGAGCAAAAACGGAAAAGCAAGCTCACAGGCTTGGAAAAGATAAGGGAGAACTTGACATAAATGACTCTAAAAACACGGTGCAAGCACACATTTTAGGCTGAGCTGTCATTGCTATGCCAGCTATTTCTCTGGGATCTCCAGCTTTTAAAGATAGGGCTGAGAACACCACTCCCAATTTTTAAACAGGACCTTGGCAAAGGTTTCTAGCAGTTTAAATGCAAGTACAAGAAACCACAAGTTTCAATTCAAGCCAGTAAAATAACTGATGCCCTTGCTTTTAAAGTCAAATTTCTTTTTCACCCAATATTAAATACAATGTATTAGAAGAATCAATTTAGGAAACCCAGGAAGGCAGTCTTGAGTTATTATATTTCAGCAAAGGCAGCTACAGGGATGCGTGAACAGATCTTAGCTGGTTTTGAGATAGGAAACAGTAACATGAATGGTGGTTTAAGCATTTTCTCCCGTTAACCATCTTACCTATCAAGGAATGAATGAAAGGATTTTAGTTAAACATTCTCATGTCTCATGATGGGCTTTAAGCTTTGGAGGTGCTTCCTCTGCACCTGTCTATCTAGAGATGCAAACTATTATTAATCTGTTACTCAGTGGTAAAAGACAACAGGACAACCAAAGGCCAAATCTTGCTTTCCAAGCTCTCTGCAACATTCTAACTTCTGCTTTTGTAGTATCTTTGAAAAGATGAGGATGTTGGGCTCCTTCCCAGGTCTTTCTGGGTTTCAAACATGGTTTCTTGTAATATTGTGAAGTTCTGACACAAGTATGCTTCTAGTCAAATGTAGAGGGCCCCAAATTCCTTCATGCACTCAATAGCATGGGTGACACAGGGGCTCCTGGGCCTTCTCTTGGGTTTTCTGCCCTGCTGTGAGTACAGATAACCATGAAGCCACAGAGGTTTACAAAACTCCCCCTCCACTTCCTTCCCCATACCACTGGTTGGTCTCTAGAGCCTCGGTGTTAACGCCTAGGCCGGAGGTTTCCAGCCCAGGTAAAAGGGGACCAGGAGGGTCGGGCGGTTGCCCAGATGGGTCACTGTCACCTCCGCAGCCTCCGCTGTGGCCTGAACGCAGGTGGTCCTTGAGCGTCTGTTTGTAGCGGAAGCTTCTGCCGCAGTAGGAGCAGGGGTAGGGCCGCTCGCCCGTGTGGATGCGCTGGTGTTTCATGAGGTGGTGCTTGCGGATGAAGCTCTTGCCGCAGTGAGCGCAGCTGAAGGGCCGCTCTCCCGTGTGCAGCCGCCGGTGGTTCAGCAGGTGCTCCTTGCGCATGAAGCTCTTACTGCAGTCAGTGCACGGGTAAGGGCGTTCGCCCGTGTGGATCATCTGGTGGCGGATCAGGGCCGAGTGGCCGTTAAAGTCAATGCCACACTGAGGGCAGGAGAAAGGCCGCTCCTGTGCATGGCCACGCTGGTGGAGCAGGAGGCTGATCTTTAGGCTGAAGCTTCGGCCACACTGGGTGCAGCGGAAGGGCCTCTCGCTTGCATGAGCTCGTCGGTGGCTGGTGAGTCGGGCCTGGTCGGCAAAACGCTTGGGGCAGTCAGGGCAGGGGAAAGGGCGCTCAGTGCTATTGTGGACCCGAAGATGGTAGGTGAGCCTTGATGGGTGAGTGAAAGTCCTCGCGCAGTGCGGGCAGGTGGGCGGCGTCTCACTGGCATGGTCTTGGGAGGTGCTACTAAGGTCAGCCTGAGGGGGGAAGTGCTTAGGGCACTGGGCACAGGGTAAGGGGTGCTCACCAGCATGGCTACACTGGTGCGTGAGCAACATGTCTTGGCTGAGGCTCTTGCCACAGTGGTGGCATGAAAACACCTGCTCCCCCACTGGGGGTGGGAGAGGGTAGCTACCCAACTGAGTGAAAGTCACTTGTCCCTCAGAGGCTTCAGGCAGGTCAGGGGCTGGACGTCCAAAAGGTGTCACAGGTGCAGACTGCTGGTTTTTGAAAGCCACCTCTGAAAAAGCATCCTTTGCTGCCGGTGGTGGAGAAGAGAAGGTGACTGGGACCTCAGGGCACAAGGAGGCTCTCGCAAGGCCTTCAGCTTTGATGACAAGCTCTTCATCTGAAAGAAAGGACGCAGGATTACACCTATCAATACCTGTTTCACTAGCAGCTCTCCTATGTTCCTGCCCAGCTCCAACAAACTGCTCCAAGCTCTTAATTTGGCTCAGATAAGAAACTCAGTGGAGGTGTGATAATGATCAAGGCATCTGTAGTCCCTGTGGCAAGTCCTCACAGTATTTAACAGTGTACCTCTTTGATGCTACCTGCTTAGGAAAGGAAAAACCTTGGCACCAATCTTCCCACATTACGTTCATTATGTTTGGTCTCTGCTCAAGAATTCTGTGTTGCCTGTTGTGACAAAGCCTCAAATCACACATTTCTTTACTCCCGCTTCTTGCTAGTCTACCAGTTAAATCCTTCCATGTAATCAGCTGGCTCTACGTTCCCCAATTAACAACATAATTCTGCTTCTGCATCTTTGTTCATTCTGCCCTCTTTTTTGGAGAATTCTTCCCTTCTTTCTCTCTCTTCCCAGATTATACCTGACTATACCATATCAATCGTCTAAGACCTAAGTCTGTCTTTAATTCTTCCTCAGGCCTTATCTAAATATCTAAATTAAAATAAGATCCATTTCACTCACCCTTGACACTTAACAGTCATGCTTATCAATATGTGTCCCCAGTGTAAGTTTCTTGAAAGACAAAAATTATCTTATTTTTCATTTTATTTCCTAGAGTCTAGAAGAACACAGGGCATGGAAGATATGAAAAAGACTGCCTTAAGTTGAATAGTGATAAATGATTGAGTCTCTTCTGACCTTGAGAATCTTTTCCATCACTCAACCGTCAACATATAGATGGTACTAAGATATTTCTGTTTCTTCTGCCTTTCACTAGGAGGGCTCGGAATTAACATTCCCAATCGTGCCTCCCCAATGCTGTTTTTGTTTCCACTGCTTGTCTCTCTCCACCCCGCTCCTCATTTCTGTTCTGTTCTCTTCCTATGACTGTTAAATGTTCTTCTGTTTTTCCCTATCCTCATACTTTTGTCCGCCTGTAAGCACTTATTTTTCTTCCTCTGATAATTCTTAATTTGAGTTTGCACTTAAAAATGTTTTCTCACTTAAAATTTATTTTAGTGACATTTCAGTTTTAATTCTAACTTGTTTGAGCATGTCTATTTTTTTTTCTTTCTGATTCTTCTCCAACTTTTTTGCCTCTCCAAGCCCATGTATTTCATATGCTTTTTCAGTCATTCCTAGCATGGCATGAACGTCTCTTCAACTGAATACTCACCAGCAAATGTGCTTTTGTATATGTCACTCTCCTTGGTCTCCTGTGGGGCCCCAACCTGAGGATCTTCCTCTTGTTTAATCCAAGACAGAATATCTGAGGTTGAAATACCAGGCTCTATTTGTGAGGAAAAAGGAGAATGGCCTTCAGGGACTTGAATCTGAAGGTGAAATAATTATGTTGGCTTGTAGAACACTAAAATGTGCCCACATATTTACTTTTAACTATGAAACTAAACCAACCTTTAAAAAATGCATATAAACTCTGCAGAACCAGTTAAAAATGATGCTAGATTTATGTATTTTCACATGTTATACTCAGCTTGATCCTCTATTTCCAGTGAGTTCCTTAAAAACAAATCACCATCATGGGAGACCAGGAGGAAGCACCTGGCTCCTGGCTTTGGATCGGCACAGCCATTTAGGGGGTGAACCAACAGAAGGACCTTTCTCTCTGTCTCTCCCTCTCACTGTCTAACTCTGCCTGTCAAAACAAACAAACAAACAAATCACCATGGCCAACATTGTGGCGCAGTGGGTAAAGCCACCGCTTGCAGTGCTGGCATCCCATATGATTGCCGGTTCATACTGGCAGCTCCACTTCCAATCCAGCTCTCTGCTATGGCCTGGGAAAGCAGAGGAAGATGGCCCAAGTACTTGGGCCCCTGCACCCATGTGGGAGACCTGGAAGAAGCTCCTGGCTTCGGACCTGCACAGCGACGGCTATTGTGGCCATCTGGGTGGGGAATGAACCAGCTGATGGAGGACCTCTCTCTCTGCCTCTCTGTAACTCTGCCTTTCAAATAAATAAATAAAACTTTAAAAACAAAACAAACCTGCAACTGCCACCAAATGTCCTCTTCCAATAACACCACCAGTACAATTAAACTATGGGATTCATTTGTGACAGATTCAGAAAAGGACAGGTCACAGAGAGGTCACAAAGCTTCTGGTACTTACACAGCAGAACAGTCTACAGCTTAATGGCTAGGATCAGAACACAGTTCCTGTTTCTCTTCTTACTTTCCTCAGAATGGACTCAACCAGGTGCCAGTACTGTGGCATAGTAGGTTAAGCCTCTTCCTGCAGTGCCAGCATCCCATATGGGCAAGGGTTCAAGTCCCGGTTGCTCTACTTCCAATACAGTTCCCGGCTGAAGACCTGGGAAAGCAATGGATGGCCCAAATACTTGGGTCCCTGCACCCATGTGGGAGACCCAGAAGTTTCTCCCTCCTGCCTTCGGATTGGCCCAGCTCCAGTGGTTGTGGCTATTTGGGGAGTGAACCAGCAAATGGAAAATCTTTACCTCTCTTCTCTCTCTTTTTTTCTCTCTCTGCTTCTGCTTCTCTGTAACTCTGCCTTTCAAATACATAAATAAATCTTTAAAAAATCAGTAAGATTCTAAAATGTGCATGAGCAAAACGCCAGATTACTTTCAGAGGATCTCCAATTAGACTCACGGCTGACTTCTAGTCAGAAACCCTACAGGCTAGAAGGGAATGGCGAGATACAGTCCAAATGTTAAAAGAGAGACTGTCAATCCAGAATACTATACCCTGCAAAGTTCTCATTTATGAATGAAGGTGAAATTAAAATTTTCCATAACAAACAGAAATTGAAAGAATTTGTCACCACTTGTCCAGCCTTACAAAAGATGCTTAAGAATGTGCCACACACAGAAACAGAGAAAAAAAGCCATCATTATGAATGAGAAGGCAGAAAATCTCCCAGTAAAAATACAAAGGAAATCCAAAGTAAACAACAGGAATACTTATGGAAAAATGGCAGGGCAAAGTCATTACTTATCAATAGTCACCTTGAATGTAAATGGCCTCACAAAAAATGACCTAAATGAAAGATCTCTATGATAAGAATTACAAAGCACTAAAGAAGACATTTAAAAAATGGAAAAATCTTCCATGTTCATGGATTGGAAGAATCAACATTATCAAAATGTTCATACTACCAAAAACTATTTACAGATTCAATGTGATCCCAATCAAAATACCAATGACATTCTTTGCAGATCTAGAAAAAATGATGCTAAAATTCATATGGAAATACAAGAGACCTCAAATAGCTAAAGCAATCTTATACAACAAAAGTAAAGTCAGAGGCATCACAATACCTGATTTCAAGACATACCACAGGGCAGTTATAATTAAAAGAGCCTGGCACTGGCACAAAAATAGACTTGTAGACCAACGGAACAGAATAGAAACTCCAGAAATCAACCCACGCATCTAAAACCAACTTACCTTTGACAAAGGAGTTAACATCAACCCCTGGAATAAGGACAGTCTTTAACAAATGCTGCTGGGAAAACTGTATCTCCACGTGCAGAAGTATGAAATCAGGTCCTTATCTTACACTTTACACAAAAATCCACTCAAAATGGATCTAAGACCTAAATCTATGACCTGATATCATCAAATCACTAGAGAACACTGGGGAAATTCTGCAAAACATTGACATAGGCAATGACTTCTTGGAAAAGACCCCAGAAGCACAGGCAAAGTAAAAATTGACAAATGGGATTACATCAACTGGGAAGCTTCTACACTGAAAAAGAAACACTCAGCAGTGAAAAGGCAACCAACAGAATGGGAGAAAATATTTGCAAACTATGCAACTGATAAAGGGTTAATATCCAGAATCTATACAGAGCTCAGCCGGCACCACGGCTCACTAGGCTAATCCTCCACCTGTGGTGCCGGCATACTGGTTGGGGCGCCAGATTCTGTCCCTGTTGCTCCTCTTCCAGTCCATCTCTCTGCTGTGGCCTGGGAAGGCAGTGGAGGATGGCCCAAGTGCTTGGGCCCTACACCTGCATGGGAGACCTGGAGGAAGCACCTGGCTTCTGGCTTCGGATTGGCACAGCGCACCGGCCATAGAGGCCATTTGTGGGGTGAACCAACGGAAGGAAGACCCTTCTCTCTGTCTCTCTCTCACTGTCTAACTCTGACTGTCCAAAAAAAAAAAAAAAAAAAAAAAAATCTCAAGAAATTCAGTAACAACAAAACAAACAACCAGTTAAGAAATAGGCAAAGGACAGGGCTGGCAATGTGGCACAGTGGGTTGATGCCCTGGCCTGAAGCAACAGCATACCAAATGGGCGCTGGCTCGAGACCCAGCTGCTCCGTTTCCGATCCAGCTCTTCTCTATGGCCTGGGAAGGCAGGAGAGGATGGCCCGAGTCCTTGGGGAGACCTGGAAGAAACTCCTGGCTCCTGGCTTCGGATCAGCACAGCTTTGGCCATTACGGCCAACTGGGGAGTGAGCCATTAGATGGAAGACCTCTCTCTTTCTCTCTCTCTCTCTGCCTCTCTTCTCTCTGTGTAACTCTGACTTTCAAATAAATAAATAAATCTTTAAAAAGAAAAAAGAAATAGGCAAAGGACTTGATTAGACATTTTTCAAGAAAAGAAATTCAAATGGCCAACAGACACTTGAGAAAATACTCAAGATCACTAGCCATCAGGGAAATGCAAATCAAAACCACAATAAGGTTTCACCTCACTCCCGTTAGAATGGCTTTCTCATAAAGAAATCAACAATCGACAATGTTGGCAAGGATGTGGACAGAAAGGTACCCTGGTCCACTGTTGGTGGGAATGTAAACTGTGGAAGACAGTATGGAAACACTTCAGAAATCCAAATATAGCTCTACCATATGATTCAGCCATCCCACTCCTGGGAATTTACCCAAACCAAAGAAATCAGTACATGAAAAAGTGATCTGTACCCCATGTTCATTGCAGCACAATTCACAATAGCTAAGATATGGAATCAACCCAGATGTCCATCAACTGTTGACTGGATAAAGAAATTATGCTATATATACACTTATATACACTATGGAGTACTAATCAGCTGTTTAAAAAAAAAAAAAGAAATCTGTCTTTTGCAACAAGATGGACGCAACAGGAAACTACTATACTTAGTGAAATAAGACAGACCCAGAAAGACAGATAGCATGTTTTCCCTAATCCAAAGTAACTAATAGAGTACATGAAGTGTAATGTATTGGATTGAAATAGACATTTTGAGATTTGAAGATTGTTTTCTCTTCCACTGAGGAACTTTTTTTTCTTCATACTATTTATTGAACTCTTTTACCTAGATTAGGGTTAACTATACAATTATTAAGTACACTTAAGACAGATCTATGTAAAAATTAAGAGTAGGGGCCCGGTGCTGTGGCACAGCGGGTTGACACCCTGGCCTGAAGCACTGGCATCCCATATGGGTGCTGGTTCAAGACCAGGCTGCTCCTCTTCCGATCGGGCTCTTCTCTATGGTCTGGGAAGGCAGTAGAGGATGGCCTGAGTCCTTGGGCCCCTGTACCCGTGTGGGAGACCTGGAAGAAGCTCCTAGCTCCTGGCTGTAGATCGGCACAGCTCCGGCCATTGTGGCCAATTGGGGAGTGAACCAGCAGATGGAAGACCTTCTCTCTGTAACTCTGACTTTCAAATACAATAAAAAAATCTTAAAAAAAAAAAAAAATTAAGAGTGGGAATGCAAGAGGGAGAGAAGGGAAGGTTGGAGCATGGGCAGGAGGGAGGGTAGGGGGGAAGTGCCACTATGTTCCTAAATCTGTATATATGAAATACATGAAACTCATATAACTTAAAAAAAAAAACCAAATCACTATTTTTATTTCAGAGTTGATAGTCTAAAATAATGTAGAAATAATACATCTTTAACTTCATTAGCACTTTTTTAAAAGATGTATTTATTGGAAAAGCAGAGTGACAGAGAAAGAGACCATTCCTCCACAGATTCACTCCCCAAATGGCTGCAATGGCCAGACTGAAGCCAAGAGCCAGGAACTCCATCTGGGTCTCCTACATGAGAGGCAGTGGCCCCAGCACTTGGGTCATAGTCTGCGGCTTTTCCAGGCACATTAGCAGGGAACTGGATTGGAAGCAGAGCAGCTGGGACTTAAACCAGCACTCCATATGGGATGCTGGTGTTACTATCAGCAGTTTAACTTTTTTTTTTCTTTTTTTTTTTTTTTGACAGGCAGAATTAGAGAGAGAGAGAGACAGACAGAAAGGTCTTCCTTTTGTTGGTTCACCCCACAAATGGCCGCTATGCTGTACCCATCTGAAGCCAG